TACTACGCTTTCACCCCCATTCCTATTAGGCATCACCCCCCCTTGTCCCACCTCCTTAAGATCAAGAGGTGTGGCAAAGAGGCGGAGCTAGCTGCCCATGGGAGCAGGGCGAGTGTCCCAGGGGGCAGGGGGAGATGTCACCCCCCTCTCTCTCTTTTTTTTTAAATGATATTTATTAAAGTTTCAGAGAATACAAGAATTACACAAAAACAAAAAGTAAAAATACAAGAAAATACAAAATACAGAAAAAAGAATAAAGTTTTTAAAATATAACAAAGAAATGAAAGATAAAAAGAAACATACAAAATAAAAACAGTTAAAAACACGTTAATTTTCCATAGCATATCTTCCTTACACTTATTTCCCCGGACCTCCTCGTACCTCCCTTTTTTGTATTCCAGTTCAGTTTGTTAGTTCAGCAAATCCTTACCATTAAGCTTTTACCCATTTGTAAACCTTTTTTTCGTATCTCTTAAAGCATTACAGCTGGAAACCACTTAGTTTCTATCCAACATCCTTCTAAGATTCCTTAATTTTACAATATTTCTGTAAATAGTCTTTAAATTTCTTCCAGTCTTCTTTCACCGACTCTTCTCCCTGGTCTCGGATTCTGCCAGTCATTTCTGCCAATTCCATGTAGTCAATCACCTTCATCTGTCATTCTTCCAGAGTGGGTAGATCTTGTGTCTTCCAATACTTTGCAATGAGTATTCTTGCTGCTGTTGTAGCATACATTAAAAAGTTCTGTCCTTCTTTGGCACCAATTGGCCGACAATGCCCAGAAGAAAGGCCTCTGGTTTCTTCAGAAAGGTATATTTAAATACCTTTTTTATTTCATTATAAATCATCTCCCAGAAAGCCTTAATCCTTGGGCACGTCCACCAAAGGTGAAAGAATGTACCTTCAGTTTCTTTACATTTCCAGCATTTATTATCGGGCAAATGATAGATTTTTGCAAGCTTGACTGGTGTCATGTACCACCTGTATATCATTTTCATAATATTCTCTCTTAAGGCATTACATGCCGTAAACTTCATACCTGTGGTCCATAACTGCTCCCAGTCAGGGATGACACCCGGGGTGGACTGCACCCACCGCACCCCCCTTCCTCCGCCAGTGGTGTGGCAACCCTAAGACGGAGCAACAACATGATTGCACTACAAGCCAAAATAAAAAAAAATTCTTCTGAAAATGGGCTTCTTCTGAAAATAAGTTTCACATCTTCTTTGAACTGGAAAAAAATTCACTGAGTACTCTATTGTGATGCATACTAGCTTTCATTCTGCATTATTTGTGGCCTAACAAAGTAACTTTCTAATAATAGTTATGGTCCTCTTTGCATTCATGTAAGTTAAACTGATGACACATGCAAAAAAAGGGGGAAAGGATGATGTTCCGACAGCAGATGCAAGAAATAGAGTACAGTGGTACCTCAGGTTACAGACCCTTCAGGTTACAGAAGCTTCAGGTTACAGACTCCAATAGCCCAGAAATAGTACCTCGGGTTAAGAACTTTGCTTCAGGATGAGAACAGAAATTGGGTGGCAGCGGCGCGGTGGCAGCGGGAGGCCCCATTAGCTAAAGTGGTACCTCAGGTTAAGAGCAGTTTCAGGTTAAGAACGGACCTCCAGAATGAATTAAGTTCTTAACCCGATGTACCACTGTGTCTATAAATCTCCAGACATGCATGAACACACACACACACACACACACACACACACACACAAATAGCTCCCAACTGTGGTGGCTGCCTGCCATCTTTAATTACCCAAAATGTGGTGCCCCACTTGGACATAACAGTTTGGGTTGCTTAAGACGGTGAATAGGAGCTGAGCTTGGCTGTCATTCAAAGGTGGACCCACTATCAAAAGCAGTGAAGGGCTGGACCAGAAAAGGATCTTCCAAGCCCCCTGAGGATATCATCCAGTAGCTGTGCTGGCAGACTACAGTTGTCAGATCTGGGGGTTGGGGAGAGATGTTTATGCCCTCCCACAACCAGACATTACTTTCAATCCCAAAACCAACACAGGCAAACATTCTCTACATGTTTGGTAATAGCAGGTGAAGTTCAGAGACACTCTCTTGACAGAGGGCAGTTTGAACATCAGTTAGGTCTCCCTTACCTGCTCGGTGTCATTCAATTTCTGGAATCCAATATGGGGGAAAGCTCTCCCTGTGCCCAAGAGCTGCAGTTAAAGCTCCAGCGTGGTGGGGGACCTTCTCCAGAAGAGAGATAAGAACAATTATTTTCCCCTTTGAATGTTTGAAAGATCTGCAGGAATGACACACGCCAGGCCTATAATCGACTCAAATGCTGGTCAATTACGTGCATTTGGTATGCTTTAGGCTCCGTTGCTTTATTCTCTGTCTACATTCCAGCAGAGTTATTAGTCAAAGTAATTGTTTATTTTTGCCCCCAGAAAAACAAACTGTAAAGCACTCAACGCTGGAGCTTGCTAAACCATCCCTTTGTTTTGTTTGACTTGCAAAGTACTTTATGCTATGAAAAATTGTTCTATAATGGATGAGGAATCTGCTAAAAAATTGTGCCCCACACAACTTTAATTTGTTGGCACGATGAGAACTACCACGGAACAAGACCACCAAGAGAGCTCTAAAGGGCTGGGGAAATAAAGGCATCTTACCCACAATGTCGGTTGTGGCATTTGTGTTGTGCTCTGAGTACCTTTTTGCCTGGGTCTAGCTCTGTGAAGGAAAGACCAGAGCCATTTCAGGCGGAGCCAGCTAGCAAGTTACTGATCCAAGAAGTAAAACTGGGTTCTGTACTGGAGTTTGGAAAATGAGTGTGCCCTGGATTCTGCCAGGTTATTCCTTTTACCAGGTTGGATTGTGTTTCTGGAAAGGATCTGGCTGTCTGGCTCTCTGAACAGTATGCTCTCCGTCCTACTCCTCCTCCATGTTTTCTGTCTCCCCACCACCTCCTGCCCACCATTTTTATATTTAGCATTCTGTGGCGCTGTGGGTTAAACCACAGAGCCTAGGGCTTGCCGATCAGAAGGTCGGCAGTTCGAATCCCCACGATGGGGGGAGCGCCTGTTGCTTGGTCCCAGCTCCTGCCAACCTAGCAGTTCGAAAGCACATCAAAGTGCAAGTAGATAAATAGGTACCACTCCGGTGGGAAGGTAAACAGCGTTTCCATGCGCTGCTCTGGTTCACCAGAAGCAGCTTAGTCATGCTGGCCACATGACCCGGAAGCTGTCTGTGGACAAACGCCAGCTCCCTCGGCCTATAGAGCGAGATGAGTGCGCAACCCGAGTCATCCGCGACTGGACCTAACGGTCAGGCATCCCTTTACCTTTACCTTTATGCATTGAGAATTCTCAATGGGCTGTTTTGGGGGTTCTCCTGACCTCAGAAGTTTGGTTGATTAAATTTTCTTGTAGCTCTGAAAACCCTGGGGCTCCCCCCAGCCCGCTGGTACCTTCCTGATCTGCATGGGTAGTAAAGGTAAAGAAAGAAAGGGAAAGGAAGGAAGGAAGGAAGGAAGGAAGGAAGGAAGGAAGGAAGGAAGGAAGAAAGAAAGAAAGAAAGAAAGAAAGAGGAAGGAAGGAAGGAAGGAAGGAAGGAAGGAAGGAAGGAAGGAAGGAAGGTAAAGGACCCCTGGACGGTTAAGTCCAGTCAAAGGCATTACATAGGGATCAGTAGGCAGAGAATGAGTCCTTTATTGGTATATAGGATGTTTCAGTAATCACTGAGATGTATGTTAGATTAGTATTATCATTCCTATCTGGGCTTTATTTCAGCCAAAACTCACCAGAACTCAGTTCTGGCACCTCTCAGGTGGGTGCCACTGCCATTACAAGAGAGTAAGGGAAGTGTTCGTGGTGAGTTCCGGCACCTCTATTTCTAGAAAAGTAGAACTGATTTGCTTACTGCAAGTTTGCTGAGAAGGGCTGAGGTTTGATGGCTCACTAGAAGTTCCCTTAAGGTACAATTTGAAGCATGGCCATTCTGGTTTACTTTCCTAGCCATTCTCCTGCAACAGCAATCCCAGTGAATTGTGCTGTAATTAGGGCATGGTGTAAAGTGCAGGGCAATATGGGGGCAACCCTACGGCAAGATCCACCAGGGTCAGCAGTTTAGGTTGCAGTGGATCTCTTGCTCAGCCAGCTGATTTCCAGCTGTGCTGCATTAATCTCCATCTCAAACCTTTACAGTGGTACCTCAGGTTAAGAACTTAATTCGTTCTGGAGGTCCGTTCTTAACCTGAAACTGTTCTTAACCTGAAGCACCACTTTAGCTAATGGGGCCTCCTTCTGCTGCCGTGCCACCGGAGCACAATTTTTGTTCTCATCCTGAAGCAAAGTTCTTAACCTGAAGCACTATTTCTGGGTTAGCGGAGTCTGTAACCTGAAGCGTATGTAACCTGAAGCTTCTGTGACCCAAGGTGCCACTGTATTGGCAGATGGACAAGATTCTAAAAGTTTCAGTGCAATAAATTTTTTTGGCAAAATCTTCATCTAACAATTAAAATACTGTTGTACGACATTCACGAAAACCTGGCTACCATCTCCATCTTAGCGTTAAGTCTCCAACCTCTGTTCAGCTACAGGTATGCAACTTGCTTGTCCTGTCTCAGCTGGGGCCCAGACCGTTGAGCCAAAGCTGGGGTAAATCCCCAAAAGTGGGTGTGGCAGAGATGGCAGCAGGGAAGGGATGGATCCTAAGCCCATCCAGTTCAGTCATGTAACCTGGCAATCTGGCGTAAAATACTATTTTTAAATGGTTTCTTTCCCTTTGGCAGGCTTAGACAGATCACTAATAGCAGCCCTGCTGCTGAGCAGGGTTTGGATCTGGTCAGGGGCACCAACTACAGTCGTACCTTGGAAGTCGAACGGAATCTGTTCCAGAAGTCCTTTCAACTTCCCAAACATTTGAAAACCAAAGTGCAGCTTCTGATTGGCTGCAGGAAACTCCTGCAGCCAATCGGAAGCCGCGGAAGCTCCATCGGACGTCTGGCTTCCAAAAGAACGTTAGAAAAGTGGAACACTCACTTCCGGCTTTCAATCCTTTGGGAGCCGTTTTTTTCTGGAGCCAAGGCGTTCAAGATCCAAGGTATGGCTGTATAGTACTGCTTTATCTCCTTGACATCTGATAATAATAATAATAATTTATTATTTATACCCCATCCATCTGGCTGGGTTTCCCCAGCCACTCTGGGCCGTTTACAGTATATATAAAAACATAGTAGAACGTCAAACTTTAAAAACTTCCCGATACAGGGCCACCTTCAAATGTCTTCTAAACGTTGTGTAGTTCTTTATCTCCTTGATATCTGATAACAATAATAATTGATAGGTGTGTGAGGGGCTTCAGCCCCCTCAAACTTTGTGGGTAGGCAGCTGAGACACACACCCAAGAATATTGAGGTGGCCGCTATCCCCCACAACCCCCCATAGCTGTGGAATGCTTGCGCTCCAGGCCGGGATGGGATGCACAGAGGGGTGCATGACATTGTATGTATGATGCCACACAATGTTGGGGGGGCCCAATGTGGGGAGCAAGTCAACACCCCTGGATCTGGTGTAAATTTACAGCTGCTTAAATTACACCGGCTGGCTTTACACCAGCTCCTTCTGCAGAGGAAGGAAAATAAAATATCATCTTGGCTACAGGATAGCACCAGGGTTGTTGGTTTGTTTCAATTGACTGGTTCTAATTATCTCTCTTGTTGTTGGTATTTGTACAATGTACCTGAACTTGTTTCTAATTTGTAACTGCTCTGGCGGGTAAGAAATATTTTTAATAAACAGATAAATGATTCCGACTTCTCCTTTACATGCAAAACCCCAGGTTCAGTCTGTAGTTAAAATGTTCTCACACTAGCCAGACTTGGACAGACCTGGACCTGGGACCCCAGAGAGCTGCCAAGATTGGTTTGGATGGACCAGTGATACGATAAGGTGACTTCGTGGGTTCTCGAAAATCTCAGCTTTATTTTTTAGAACAAGTTGTTTGACCCTTTAATGTCAAAGATAGCCTTGAAAAGAAGTGTTTGGGGAAAACCCTGTTGAAGCATCATATGCCAGAGTGGGACGGAAGGGTCATATTTCCAGTGGATTTCAGGCAAAAGCAGAGTTAATTATGCAAAATAGCTTTAAAAATGTGGAAGAATGATTTGCTGAATTCAGAATTATGCAACTTTGCTCTATTTTTCATAATTAATAGATAGGTCACTTTATTTTAGTGCAGAAGTCCGATTACCTGGGTGCATAATTTGAATGTGATTAGCAATGTCATAACACCACCCCATCACTGCTGAATTAAACTACTATAGAAAGGCAGGGCAAAATTAGGGTTTTTGCCACAATCCTCCCAGAAGTGTGAAGCGATCTAATACTTCCCTCTGCTTAGTTAAAATTCTGCTCAGTCACTGTCCTTTCAACCCCTCGGCTCAACTGTTTGAGCATGCTTGGCAGGTACTATGACAAAGAAAACCCTGACAAAATTTCAATAAAAAATGACTGAATTATAAAGAAGATAAAGGAATAAAGTTGTACCTTGTGATATATATATTTGAATGGAGACGGAACAGGTTTCCCATTTGTATCACTCAAATTGCTTTGAGATATATCCAGAGGAGAAGATCATCTATCTGTGGGTTTTTTATTTTATTTAGAAAAATAGAGAAAGCAGACTATATTTGAAACCTTTGCTTCAAGATTTGTCAAACATAGCATCGTAATCTGTAATATTTAGAAAGAAACGATGAAGGGCATTTTGTGAAAGACCAGAATAGTGTAATGGGAGCTTCTCTCCCACAGCAAGTAACGTCCATAATGGGCCCCAGACCAGTTCAGAATTGCAACAGGGGCAAAGGGTTAAAGTCCCCTCTTCCATATCCTGGTCCCAATACAAAAAGGGTACATCCGCAGCTATTATTTACGAACAACAACAACTATGACATTACCATTACTATTATTGGATCGAAGGCAACGCACAAATATTAAAATCCAAGTAAACTTCACAATCATTGACAACCAAACTAAAACCAGAGTCCTAAAACTCAAAACATAACAATCTGAATTATAAAATACAGCACATATCTGAATTTATAATCTTGCCCTAAATGCCCATGTGGAAAAAACAAACATCTTCAATTAATGTATTAGTGAGGAAGACAACCAAATCTCCAATGGGAGAGAGTTCCACAGCTGGGGAACCACCACAGAAAAACCCCATGTCACCACATGGCAGACAATATGCAATGGTGGAAATGTGTGCTTTTTAAATCATCACACAATTAATAATTTTGGGAATAATGTCACATTCAGGTTCGCCTGAAGAGAATGAGATGGGAAGTTCTCATTGATTCACTTATTTTTAAATACATCATAAATATAATTGGACTAGTAAGGTCAGGTTCCACCCAAAAACAAACAAACCGATAGCAATATCCCAAAGTTACATGCATCTGACTGCATATGGACTAGAAGATTTGCCAAGCAGTGCTCTCTCTCTCTAGTTAGAACAAGATGATACTGAAGTGAACGACTGCATGGCAGACAGTAGCCCCGTAAATTGTGTTTATGTGTCACTCTTTCTTCATTAATCTGCAATGTGTGTGTGTTTGTGTGTGTGGTGCACATATACACATACAAATGAGATAGTTATATTGGATAACAAGTATTAGCATAATAAGAAAAAGCAGATCTCAAGACAGGAACTGGTCTTTTGAACCAGTGTGTGTGTGAGAGTTTAATCAATCCCATCTGACTTGAATCCTGAACATCTGTAATGAAGAATACTTTTATGTCTGGCTACTATTGATCAAAAATAAATAAATCAAGAATAAGATTTATGTTTTGAGAACAGAGTGGGACGAGGGAATGGTTGACACAGAAAAAAAGTGACCCTCTTATTTCCATTAGCAGAAATATATTTACACTGGGAGTGCTTCTTTTCTCAGCGCTCATTAAAGATATCAGAAACCAGCCAGAGTCACACAGTATTTCTGCCCAGGTTTTGCAGATGTCAGAGTCGCTTCTGTGTATGCATATTTGGATCTTGTAATGCACAAAATGGCAGTGGTGGGATGGGAGCCTCTGGGGGAAAGTAACTAAGCCATGTCATAAAGTAGAAAGGCGGGCAGGTGGGTCACTGCTTGCCATTGCCTGAGCTGCTCTGAACCTGGAGACAAATAGGGCAGAGCAAAGTACCCAAAGAAGCAGTATGAGACCCCGGCAAGGAGGAGGCAGGACTCTGAGAAAGCAGAAGGCCAAGACATGTTTGAGTTCCTGAGAAAGATTTGTAAGGAGTGGTGCCCTGGAGAAAGGGGGAGAAAGGGGATGTCGTGATGTGCTTCTGAAAGCCCTGAAGATGAAATCAAGGTCAAAATGCACCAAGCAGGAGAAGCTGGAATAGTGTCATGGCCAAGAAAGTCCATTCATTCAACCTTCATCTCACTAGGTGGCCTTTAACAAGCTGCTATTGCCTCAAACTCATTTCCCTATCTGCAGTGTGGGAGAAGGTAATAATAGTGCTCTACCTCTCAAGGAGGGATGTGGGGGTCTAAACCACAGAGCCAAGGATTTGCTGATCAGAAGGTTGGCGGTTCGAATCCGCGTGGCGGGGTGAGCTCCCGTTGCTCGGTCCCAGCTCCTGCCAACCTAGCAGTTCAAAAGTATGTCAAAGTGCAAGTAGATAAATAGGTACCACTCCGGCGGGAAGGTAAACGGCATTTCCGTGTGCTGCTCTGGTTTTGCCAGAAGCGACTTAGTCATGCTGGCCACATGACCCAGAAGCTGTCTGTGGACAAAAGCCGGTTCCCTCGGCCTATAGAGCGAGATGAGCACGCAACCCCAGAGTCATCCACAACTGGACCTAATGGGCAGGGGTACCTTTACCTTTACCTCTCAAGGATCCACTGAAACGGTTACTCATATAACATCAGGATGTGCTTTGAATACGCCACAGATGTACAGTGGTACCTCGGGTTAAGAACTTAATTCGTTCTGGAGGTCCATTCTTAGCCTGAAACTGCTCTTAACCTGAGGTACCACTTTAGCTAATGGGGCCTCCCGCTGCTGCCGCCACACAATTACTGTTGTCATCCTGAAGCAAAGTTCTTAACCCGAGGTACTATTTCTGGGTTAGCGGAGTCTGTAACCTGAAGCGTCTGTAACCCGAGGTACCACTGTATTCAGATTGGACCCTAGGCAATATAGCCACTGGTTGGAAATGATGGAAGGTGAGGTCCAGCAACAGGGCACCACATTGGAATACCTAGAGATGGCCATTTGGTTTAAAGGTGGAATACCAGTTTACATTTTTAAAAGGAGAGATGATGCTCTCTCACAGTTGGTTTTTAAAAGAGGTCTATGAAGCTCATGTGCTGAGCAACTTGAAGGCCCACATACAGTTGCAAGTATGGGCACAGGGGTGGATTTTGGTCTTTCAAATTTCAGCGGCGCCCTGTGGGAGGCCCAGTGCGGTGGGGCTGGTCATGCTGCCCTAAATCTGCCTCTGTATCGAGGTATGCATGAAACCCTCTGAGAATTTTTGCTATCCTCAAAATCCTTTTGGCTTCCACTGAAACTGCTCAGACACACACACAGGGAAATATTTCTCAGGGAGAAGTTTACACATGACCCTTCTCTTGCACATGTGAGATTTCTACATGCATGGAGTGTGTGAGTATTTACTGGAGACACGTTGAAATGTTTCTTTGCTTCATTCCCCTGTCTCTACCCCACCTGCATCCTGATGCAGTGTTCTCCAAGAAGCGCTTCATCCCTTGATGGTTCTGTTTAAATTTGTGCTCTGATATTATGCCTATGGAGGAATCTCCAAATTCGCTTCAGCCAACATTTTAGTGATGTAGACTTGCACACCTGAAAAGGCATGAGGGAATCAGTCCCAAGTCATGGTGATACAAGTTTTTCAATGCAGCTGAACATGCTGGATATACTTCTGGCACAACGGAAACATAAGACAGCACTTGGTGAGGTAAAATTTACAATAGTCAGGGGTAAAGTATGCTTAAAGTAAAGGTAAAGGGACCCCTGACCATTAGGTCCAGTCGTGACCGACTCCGGGGTTGCGGCGCTCATCTCGCTTTATTGGCTGAGGGAGCCAGCGTACAGCTTCCGGGTCATGTGGCCAGCATGACTAAGCCGCTTCTGGCTAACCAGAGCAGCGCATGGAAACGCCGTTTACCTTCCTGCTGGGGCGGTACCTCTTTATCTACTTGCACTTTGATGTGCTTTCGAATTGTTAGGTTGGCAGGAGCAGGGACCGAGCAACGGGAGCTCACCCCATCGCGGGGATTCAAACTGCTGACCTTCTGATCAGCAAGCCCTAGGCTCTGTGGTTTAACTCACAGCGCTTATGTATGCTTAATTTCAAGGGTACCCAATGCAGTGCACTCCAGAAGTTGTATCCATCTAAGTCCTACTTATACCCACTGAAATTAATGGACATGACTAAGTTAGAATGATAAATTTCAGTGGGTCTGCTCTGAGTAGCACTTCATTGAATAAACCTCATATATTTTGGACTACAACCCCAACCATTGGCAATGCAGGCTGGGGCAGATGGAAGTTGTAGTCCAAGATATCTGGGAGGTACCATGTTGGCTTTAATTTATGTGTCATTATATCACCAGAAGTCTTCAAAGTGTAGATATATTACAAAATAATAAAGCATAGCATCGTGCCAAATACGGTAAACATTAATTAATTGATAGGTTGAGTTTTTGGAAGACTCCTGTGCGTGAATTTGTTTTATGTGTGTAGATCAGTGCACACTGACCAATGCACAGTCTTCGCAGTAGGGCTCTGTTCTGATGGCACGAAGTAGTCACAACAAACCAGTAGATTCCTATCTGCTGCAGCCTTCATCCGCCTTCACAGCTGTCGTAACATACCGTTTGTTATCATCCGCCTGTTCTGCCGTTGAGGACTTCTTGGATCATTCTTTGTCTGACTCCTTCCCTTTGACCTTACCACCTTCGGTGACCCTGCTGGGAGTATGAGATTCCCAATGGCTTCACTCACAAGGGGCATAGGAACGTGCCAAGGGTCATAGGAACGCACCATGACAAGCGCACTAATATCAGTGTACTGGAAGAAGCAAAGATCACCAGTGTCAAAGCAATGATTCTTCAACATCAACTTCATTGGACTGGTCATGTTGTGCGGATGCCTGATGATCGTCTTCCAAAGCAACGACTCTATTCCAAACTTAAAAAGGGAAAGTGTAATGCTGGTGGTCAACAAAAGAGGTTTAAAGACTGTCTCAAGGCAAATCTTAAAAAACTGTACTATAAACACCAACAATTGGGAAACACTGGCCTGTGAGTGCTCCAGTTGGAGAACAGCCTTTACCAATGGTGTCATGGGCTTTGAAGACACTCAAACTCAGGACGCAAGGGAGAAACGTGCTAGGAGGAAGGCACCCTTGGCAAATCCACACCGTGATCAACTCCCATCCGGAAACCAATGTCCCCGCTGTGGAAGGACGTGTGGATCCAGAATTGGCTTCCACAGTCACTTACAGACTCATTGTTTAAACCATGTTTATGGAAGACAGTCTTACTAGGCTACAGGTGATCTCCAAAGAATTAATTGATAATTACAAATTATCAAAACCAAAAAACAAAAAGAATCAGATAATAATAATAATAATAATAATAATAATAATAATAATAATAATAGAATGTTGCATATTAGCAGCTGAGTGAGCGTATATCTGTTCAGTTCTGGTAATCTACTACATCTCAAAAGCCTGTATGCAAAGAAAAGAGTGTTCTTATCTCTACATCTTCCATTGAATTATTAGATTTGTATTTGCACCCTAAGTTTTAATAAAAATGTACAGTAATGTTGCTTTCTGGTAACAACTGTATTCATATCACAAGAATTAAATGGGTTACATTTAAAATATACATGCCTAGAATTTGTCTCTGTAACATTACAATAAACACTCTTTACCTTGTGCAACACTTTGCCTGTAAAATACTCAGGCTGACACTGCAAATTAGATTTCTTTCATTACTTGTTTCTTCTTCCTTCTGAGAAAGGAATAGGGGAGAGAAGAAAAATGTCTTGCCGTATTAAATAAAAAAATAGCTACTACCTGCTACCACATTTTACAAATGAAGCCAAGGTAAGGAGAATCAGTCTTCTAACTTTGACAGAGGGTGTTTTATTAACAGCTGGTATGCAAATATTATATATATATATATATATATATATATATATATATATATATATATTCGTCCATTTTTTTATTTTTACGAGAAATGCAAGAAGTGAAGAATGAGCAAAGCAATCATTTCCTTTGTCTGTCAACCCAGAGAGCACAAGCTTTATTGGCAATTAGAGAAATCCGTCCAAAGGAAAACATCTCTACCCTCCCAGCTTATCTTCACAGAGTAACAAAGCCAGAGAAAAGCAATTCAATTAAAAGAATGTGCATTAAAAATACAATAACTGATTTGCATCATATAAATGATGCGGGATTGATGTCTTGTGCCTTTAAATAACACAGCTCGATTATCCAGCCCTCCTTGAGGCTTTCGCCCATTGCCCAAGCAAGCTTTTTCAGATGCAAATATTGGTCACTTATTGGGGTTTTATTAGCGGCAATGAAAAGGGATGACAACATGCAACGACATCCGATCAATGTGCACTTTGTGCTACAAGATCTGTATTCAAACCGTCCAATGGTTCATTTTAGGAATGGTATCAAAGACTAATATGAGATACATGAGCTCATTCCAGGGCGGGCATTCGATATAGTTTTGAAGGGTCTGCAACTATTTTGTCTCACTTCTAAGCAAATCAAGGTGTCTGCCTCCAAGTTTGAACCCTGTGGCGTGATTGCAATAGGACCAAAACACTTCATTATAAGCGACAGAAACATGGATGGATTTGGGATATTAGGGGAAAGAGGTGGAGCGGGGGGAGAGCCTCAGCTACATCTAAGACAATAATATCCCAAGGTGATATCTCTGAGATTTCAGGAACCAGCAGACCTTACAGCAACTGCATTTCATCCCATCACATGTCAAGGAAATAAGCAACTATCTTACTGAAGGCAGTCCTGTTTAGGGAAGTTTTAATGTCTGAAGTTTTATCGCTTATTATTATTATTATTATTATTATTATTATTATTATTACTAATTCTGTTCAGAGAGCCCCCCAGAGTGGCTGGAGAAACCAAGCCAGATGGGCAGGGTATAAATAAATTATTATTATTATTATTATTATTATTATTATTATTATTATTATTTTGTTCAAGGTTCTAGCCTGGGAGGCTGTGTGGTCTTTCATACTCCAGGGCATTTCAGAGATTCCAGAGATTTCAGTGCAGAACAACTAGGAGGAAACTATGTCTTACTAATGCAATTGAATTTTCCTACTAGCTAATCATTCTACCCTGGAAGGGTAGAGGGATGTAGACTTGTGTACCCCTGTCAATGTATGTTTAACCCGCTGCCTCAGTGGTTCCCAGAGATGGGTTGGCTGGCTCTCTTACTTAAACTTATATTGATTTTTTAAAACTGAATCATTTCCCAAAACACATCTGATGCAGTTTGGCAGCTGTGGTTGTTACCACCCTTCTCTCTCTCATTAAACACTGCCTAACAGGCACCAACGTCACAGATAAAGCTTGCCCTCTTTGCATCTCCATGCTAGGAAAAGCTTCTTCTGTTGAAGTTTCAAAATGTTTTACAGGAGGTATCAAGAAGATTTCTCCTGACTGTTCATGTGGAGGGGGGTAGACTTGACTTTTTAGTAATACCAGAAGCTACATCTAAATATATTGGGTATGGTGTGTGTGTGTGTGAATGTTTAGAAACAACATATGGAGGTTTTTCAGTATGTGAGGCAGAACTCACTGCTTGTGGATCTACACTGCGTTTTCACTCTCCCTTCAAATGTTTCCTTTCCCAGTGTCCCTCCTGTCACCTGGTCAACGCTACAGAAAGTTTCGTTCTGAAGAATTTGCTGACTATGGTGCTACCATATTCTGAAGATTTGGGTCAGACAAACCATTCTATCCCAGGGTCATCTTCTGAATTGAAATGTAACCTTACCACTCAGGAATACTAAATTGCAAATGCGGATGATAATCAGCTGAGTTTGAGAGGAGACGAATACAAATGAATGTGCATTTTTTAAAGTATTGGAATTGATTGGGGATTACGATTCTTAGTGGATCAAAGAGAGTTTGAATTCTTTGAACTTGCTTGCCTGGTGGAAGGTGATCATGTGGACTGCCCCAAATACGCTGCGAAGATACAGAAACCGTTCTTCGGTGCAATCCTAGGTTGCAATCCTGCACCTAGTTCTATGTACCCATTTATGTTCATGGCCCAAATATGGATACCAGGGTAGAGAGGATGGAGGAAGGCAACTGGGGTGGGAAGGAAAAGAAATCTGGAACCTATGGAGGGAAGAAGCATATAATGTGACAACTAAATGTCTCTATCAGTTAACAGCAGGAAACACACCTTTAATTTATGAGACATCCTTTTCATTCCTCGTCTTGCGAAAAGGCTCAAAGGAGCAGTAGTTTTTGCAATGCGTATGCTAAGAATGGTGTCTGCTTTGTTGCGAAACACTTCTTGTTCCTGAAGTCTCTTTATTTGCTTGCACTGACTTTCCCTTTGCATGAAGCGAGATCCCATAATCCTGGAGATCAAAGCGCTGTGAGTTTATTGACTGATTTCCTGGTGTCATAGGTTAGAATGTACTGTCAAACAAGGGGGATATTAAGAAATTGAAAGGGTTACAAATATGAGAACAGGGGGATAAAGGGCACACACTCAAGGAGACATTTAACTCTGCTGTAAGTCAAAGTGAGTTTGATATATAACTACTGTAGGCTGCTAAGAACTTGAACAAGAAAAGAAAATCATATGTCATCATGGAAGTGTCTGCTGTCAAGGACGGTTCGTTAATGTGTTGTGCAATTAGATTTTATAAACAGTAAGGGGTCCCCGTCCCCCCGTAAATGGGTTTAATGAAATAACTGGAACTATTTAAACTGTAAGTTTGAATATATACTTATACACCACATTCCGAGGGCTTGAGTAGGCAAGCTACGCTAAAACCAAAATGCATTAAATAAAACTAATGTATAAAATATTGGTGTTAACCCATTAAAACCCCAGAATGCAATTAGAATTGCAATTGTTGTTAGCCGCCCTGAGCCCAGCTTCGGTTGGGGAGGGCGGGATATAAATAAAATTTATTATTATTATTATTATTAGAAGTTAAAATAACCTTATGCTTGCTTAAGCACAGAAACAAACAAACAAAAACCTACTTTGCCATATCAGATCAAGATCCATTTAGTTCCACATTCTGGCTCCAATCCAGAGAAAATTAATTGTGATTAATAACACAGTCTTATGTGTGTTTAGGAGGTGTGTTTAGGATTGCAGCTAAGTCCCACTGAATTCAACCGGAGATGCTAGAAAGGACTACCTTCAAGCGGCAGTTCTATACTCACTTACCTGGGAGTAAGCCCCACTGAACATACTGTAATTAGACTTACTTCTGAGTAGACATGTATAGGGTTACACTGGCAGTCTCAGACTGTGTACACACTATATCTCTCAAGCACATTCAAAGCACAGTTTGCTTCTCAAAGAATTCAGTAAACTATGGTGGTTTAAATGTGTAGCATGTACACAGCCTCATTAGTTTCAATGGGACTGAACTTACTGCTACTCCAAATTTTGCAGCGCCATTCTAGAGCTATGCTTATGATCGCAAAAAATAATCAAGCCCCAAGCTTGAAACTATGAGGACAATTTCTGATAAAATCTCAGAGCTCCGAAGAGTATCTGAACTCAATGGTCAGTGCCTGGGTTTTAATGAACCACATAGCTCTGCTTCCCTCCCTAGGATAAATTATATAAATAGGAGAAATCATGTATAGGTTTCAGAATCCACCTATTCTTACCATCAAATTTAGGTTACTTTGGCTCAAAACCTTAATCATTGTTTAGCTCATATTACAAAGAGACCTTGCGCATATGTATGTTCTATAGTGACTTCATAAATATTTACAATTAAAAATATTCAGCGTGCACTTCAGAGTTCAGTGCAACACTTTGAGGTGAAGAAGAGGTTAATAATTGGAAATTGGAAATCTAGAAATGCCAGAAGAACTTTAATGCTTCTCACGTTGATCGGTCTAGGCTTTTGGTGCAGATTGAACTGGATCCTGACTGATATGTAAATACATCCTTTCAAGGCTTTCTATAGCCATTAATGAAAAATTACAACATGGGTACGGTATCATAAATATGTATGCAAATGAGGTTGCAGTGATAAAAGTAAATAAAAAAAAATGAGCATTTCAGCCTTTCAGTGTATGAGATGTTGCCGTATATTGTTTTAATTGGGAGTCGTCTTGGTTGTGTGAGACGTAGAAAAGTGGGATATAAATGATGATTATAATAATTATGGATACAGGCACTCTGGAAACTGGATGTGTTGGGCCTCCTTGTGCCTGGGATGCAGATGAGCCCTGTGACATATATTTTCTGGAGGAACCTGATCAGTTCAGTTATTCTACAGAATTCTGGTCTTCTCAGCATGGAAGTCTCTCCCAACAGAGCATTCTCGTTCAGAGGAAAGGAGGCTTTCAGCAAGAACTCCCTGCCACTACCCCCACTGTTGCCCCTCTGCTTGAGAACAGGAAAAGGCATGGTAGGGAAGAGTGTTTACACAGGGTGTGGGTGCACATAGGGAATTCCAGGCAGATTGGGTTGGGGGGCAGTCAGATCACATTAAACTTGCAATCACCTTCTTGGGAGTACAACAGGTCTGGATCCAGAATTGGGTCTAGATTGAAAGGATAATAATAATAATAATAATAATAATAATAATAATAATAATAATAAAATTTATTTATATCCCGCCCTCCCCAGCCGAAGCCGGGCTCAGGGCAGCTAACAACAATAAAATAGTACAACATTCTAAAATCATTTCATTATAAAATTAATTCAAATCAAATTGATGGCAACCATTAGGCTAAAGTTCTGTGAAGATTGCCAAAGGAAGGAGTCAGGCTGTGCCTTGGCCAAAGGCCTGGTGGAACAGCTCTGTCTTGCAGGCCTTGCGGAAAGATGTCAAGTCCCGCAGGGCCCTAGTCTCTTGTGACAGAGCGTTCCACCAGATTGGAGCCACAGCCAAAAAAGCCCTGGCTCTAGTTGAGGCCAGCCTAACGTCTCTGTGGCCTGGGACCTTCAGGATGTTTTTGTTTGAAGACCGTAAGTTCCTCTGTGGAACATACCAGGAGAGGCGGTCCCGTAGGTATGGGGGTCCTAGGCCGTATAGGGCTTTAAAGGATCTATTTTATTGGGGGAAAGCTTGGTATGCCAAGGCCAATTCCAAATGCCAAGCCTGAACTTGCAAACTCATTTTTAAAATCCAAGGCAGATTCAGCAACCACTTCTGGGTTTGTGCAATCACCTCTTTTGAACAATGAACCACTTTAGTCCCTTTATGAAGCGATGGAAAGGGCACAGCAGCAGTTAGTATTTGGACAGCGTAAAAGTATTGGAATAATTTAGTTCCCAAGAGGTTGAGCAGCTGTCGCAACAAGGACTTTCAGTGAATGCTGGATGTCTTGAAGTGTGCATTTGTGAAATGGAGCTCAGAATTTCTTCCCACTGTCTGAAGACTGGTAAACTCAGGTGTCTAACATTGGTCTGGAGATTTGCCAATCAAGGTTCAAGAGTTTTTATGAACTGCCGAGCACTTAACTTTCCACTAATGTACATTCTTTCCAAGTGAGGTGCACTAAAATCTCATATAAAGCATGGTGTGCTATATTTCCCCCTCATGACCTTTTTATAGAAGTTGGTCAATGCAGCCCATGCCCATGTACCTGCCATAGCTAGACTTTGTGATCCATAGTGTATATATAGGATCAAGTGACATAGTACATACTTCCTCACTACACATTTTAGAAATTTATTGTTCCAATAATTGTAAAAGGAGGGGAACCCCTCTCTTTTTCACAGGGAAATTTGAGGTACACAACTGTTGTCAGGTCAGATCTCCACACTGTATGTTCCACAGTCACCAGGGCCATCTTTACCCATGGGTGCAAGGGGTGCGGGGCACCCGGGTGCTAAATTCTGGGGGGCGCCCAGCACCCACTGCTGAAGCCGCCTACGCTCTTAACTATCTACCTGTTATGAAATAATAAATAATTTTGATCAAGCTAGAAGAACAAAATACATATATACCTAGGTATTACCGAAATGTATACCTACTGTTTCACTAAAGCACTTTTGACTTTGTGTGCTCATTTACCAAAGGCATGCTGCGCCAGCGGCAGTGCTTGTTATTCACAACAGTGGCGCTCATCAGACGAGTCAACGACGGCTCTTGTCATTCTCAACGGCGCCGTGCACGTGAAATTAACTCTTACAAAATAGTGTGTTTCGCCGTGCACGCGAAATTAACTCTTACAAAATATTGTGTTACGTATTGTATTGAGCTGCTATGTGGCAGCGGGACCAGCGGCACCTTTGACACAACTGATCTCATGCCACCTGCCTGCTGGCTGCATGCAAGCTGCGCGACATCAGTCGTGTCAAAGGTGCCGCTGACCCCGAGTGAAACATTGCAGATTGTGTTTTGATTTCATCACAGTTCAAATTCGTTTACAGAAATCGTTAAAAGAGGTGTGGGGTCTGACATAAGCATAATAAAAGTTAATTTGGGGCTAAACCAAATTTGGGGGCGCTGGGCAGATCTTTGCACCCCGGCGGCGCATATGCTAAAGACAGCCCTGACAATAAATGTGGAAAACTGCTAGCTTGGCAGTTGAAGAGAAGACAAAGATTAAACATGGTTACAAACTTAGAGGTTGATGGAAAAAACATTCAGAATCCAGTGGATATTAGAAAGTGTTTCCAGAGATATTTTAAAAAATTATACACCCAAGGGCCGCAAGACGAAGTTGAGATTAAACAATTTTTGCCAAAAATGGATTATCTAAATTGTCACAAGAAAACAGGACAATCCTGAACTCTAAAATAACACGACAGGAGATTGAACAAGCTATTCAGAACATGCAACTTGGCAAATCTCCAGGGCCAGATGGGCTGACCTCCAAGTATTATAAGACATTAAAAGACTATTTGATACAACCCTTGATGGAGGTCAGCAATGAAATTATGGAGGGGAAGAGGGCACCGGATTCGTGGAAGGAAGCGTTCATCACATTAATACCAAAGTCAGAAGCTGAAAAGACACAACTGAAGAACTACCGTCCCATCTCTCTTTTAAATGTGGATTACAAAATATTTGCAGATATTTTGGCAAGCAGATTTAAAAAAGTATTAAATGAAGTAATTCATAAGGACCAGGCCGGTTTTCTCCCAGGTAGACATCTGTTTGCTAACACAAGGAATATTATTGACATCTTGGAACTTCTGCAAACAGATATAAATACAAAAGCAGTTTTAATTTTCATAGATGCGGAGAAGGCCTTTGACAATATTTCCTGGAAATTTATGATGGGAAATTTAAAAGAGATGGGAGTGGGACGGGGTTTTGAGAATGGGATTGAGGCGATATATTCAGAACAGAAAGCTAAACTGATAGTTAATAATGTGGTCACAGAAGAGTTCAAAATTGAAAAAGGGACACGACAAGGTTGCCCTATTTCCCCTTTGTTATTTATTTCGGTTCTGGAAGTGCTACTGAACATGATTAGAGGGGATCGGTTGGTGGAAGGAATTCAGGTTGGTCAGAAACAATATAAACTAAAAGCTTTTGCAGATGACCTGGTTTTGACCCTGCAGAAGCCAGAGCCCAGTACGAAAAGAGTATTACAATTGATTAATGATTTTGGTCGGGTGGCGGGATTTAAATTAAATAAACAGAAAACTAAGGTTTTGGGGAAAAATTTGACTGATACAGAGTCAGAACGGTTTCAGAATGAGACGGAACTTAATGTGGTTAAAAAGTAAAATACCTAGGGGTAAACATAACAGCAAAAATCTAAGTCTATTTAAGGATAACTATGAAAAATGTTGGACAGAAATTAAGAGAGACTTAGACAGTTGGTCAAAATTGAAACTTTCTTTGTTAGGCCGAATTGCTGCTATTAAGATGAATGTATTGCCAAGGATGTTGTTTTTATTTCAAACACTTCAGGTTTTGGACAAAACGGAGTGCTTTCAGAAGTGGCAGAGAGATATTCCAAGTTTGTCTGGCAGGGCAAAAGCCCAGAATCAAGTTTAAGATATTAACTGATGCAAAACAAAGAGGGGCTTTGCCCTGCCGGACTTAAAGTTGTATTATGAAGCCGCAGCGTTCTGCTGGCTAAAAGACTGGCTACTTCTTGAAGACACTGATGTGTTGGATTTGGAAGGGTTTAATAATGTTTTTGGACCCAATATGGAGGCTAAATGGCCAAAATATTGGGAAATACTAGAAAAAGATGGAGACAATTGGAAATTGCAGAGTTTGGAGAAAATGAAAGACAAAGTGCGAGATTGGTTACATTACGCTCAGATTAAAGAAGTTTTTAAAAATGATAAGAAACTAGGGTTCCAGGTGGAGAAATCGAAATTAGAAACAGAATTGTTAGAACCAAAGACTAAGGTACTTTCAAGGATGTATAACTTGCTGTTGGAATGGAATACACAAGATGAAATGGTTAAATCGGCTATGATAAGGTGGGCACAGGACATTGGGTATAATATTACGTTTGAGGACTGGGAAAAGTTGTGGAGTAATGGATTGAAATTTACCGCATGTAACGCTCTGAAAGAAAATGTAATGAAAATGATTTATAGATGGTATATGACCCCAGTTAAACTTGCAAAAATTTACCACCTGTCTGATAATAAGTGTTGGAAATGTAAAGAGTGTGAGGGAACGTTCTTCCACCTCTGGTGGACCTGCCCTAAAGTGAAGGCGTTCTGGGAAATGATTTATAATGAATTGAAAAAGGTATTTAAATATACCTTTACCAAGAAACCAGAGGCTTTCCTTCTGGGTATTGTCAGCCAAGGGGTGGCAAAGAAGGACCAGACATTTTTATGTATGCAACAACAGCAGCAAGGATACTTCTTGCAAAACATTGGAAAACTCAAGATTTACCCACACTGGAAGAATGGCAGATGCAACTGATAGACTACATGGAACTGGCTGAAATGACCGGCAGAATCCGTGACCTGGGAGAAGAGAGAATCGAGGAGGATTGGAAGAAATTTAAGAACTATCTACAAAAATATTGTGATTTGAGTGAATGCTAAATAAGATGCTAGACTAAATAACTGAGCACCACTTA